TATTTGCCCCCTGTACTTTTTTTTCAAAGCATTGTCCAGTGAAAGATTTTATCACAGTCAAAGAATTTATTAGACGCTCATATCATTCGAAGTAATGTAAAATTAATCATTCATATATGAAAGGAAGTTATCTAACTTCAATTATTTATTTTTTATAGTTACTGTTATTGATTGAAAGGACATTTATACTTCCGTCTCTGAAAAAGGTAGAAAGAACGTCAACTGTGGTTTCCGAGCCAAAAATTTTCTTAACATGCTCATATTCAAAGACTAGAACACGGTAAGAGGTGATGCTGAGTATGGAGGGAGGGTGATTAGTGACTGACGCATGGAAATGTTATCTCAAACAAAAACGGGGTACGGGGTGGGCATTTTTTGGCGGAGGTTTTAGTTATCGTTAATGGTAACTTGCCCGCCAAAGGGCATTTATAGCTTCACTAGCCTATTATCACCACAAAAATCAAAGTAGCCGGTGTCACCTCATAAACCTGACTAACAGCGAACTGTACAGTGCCTACTACAGTTTAACTTCAAATCCGAAACTTAACAGGTGAAAAATAACATTTTTACTCGTGTAATTAAACTTGACAGAAATTTACTAAAACACAGTATAGAATATATAACTGATAAAAATACTCCCAAACATATAAGCTACCGATAATTAAATAAATAATTTCCAACACTGAAAAAATATGGGTTACAACGAGGTCAAGGTTCAGTTGAAAGATCCGCTACGCTTGAATCCCCATCGACGGTTAAGAAACAGTCTTTGCAGTTTGCTTCTAGACCAGAAATTCAAAACCAAAATATTTAGCCCGGAAATAATCTTCATACGAAGCATTCAAGCCTAATCGTGTATGCAAATCCAGTTCTACTGAATAATTTTTAAAGGAATTGCTAATCACGAACACGCTTAGGGGTAAAACTATACCCTTTTTGTGCGATATAATCATCAGGAGCTTCAAAGAGACAATGAAAGGTGACCACTCAAACCACACTCAGTGCTAGAGAAATTTCTTCTTAGGATAGACGTTAGATCATTCGTGAATGAGGTCTTATGTCATCACTCTATGATTATTGAGAATTTATGACCTCAAGGTAGATCTGCTACCGTACAACTAGCGGGTGGAATGTTTCAAAAGGGCAGCTGAGGTTTTCCAGGCAAGTTTATAGGTGAGTGCCATAATTTTTTAGGCGGTCACTATGAAAACCAAGTGCGATGAAACACGCAAACATCACTGGTGCCCGATAATCTATAAGAAAAACTATGTAATGACACATTACTCTCCGGAATCCATCGATTTACGGAAATATTCTAGACAAGAATAAAATTAGTGCAAATCAATGTCGCGTATTTTGCAATGAGTAGCAAGGCCAACATACGCTGTAATCTTCAGCAGTTCTTTTACATTATTAAAGCTATTTCCCAGTGTTCAGACAAATTTAAGCATATGAACTGAACAAGTAGTAGAATGGTTTACTAGCGTTTCAGCTATTTGGCTACTCTGAACTGCAAGCCAAAAATAAACATCACCAGGAAGGCAGAAGCTATCAATTCTTGACAATTTGTGAGGAGCGGAAGGCCTCAAGTGGCCAGGTTGCTGAAGCTGGCAAGAAGCAGCGATAGCATCTCAAAGAGACGAAGGAATACAAAATCACTGGTGAAAAGCAACAGAAAAGAAGACACTCCTACAAGGTCGCTTACACGAGACGTTGGCTACCCGTAAGAGAGACAGAGCAGATAAAGGAATCCTGCCTTCTTATTCTCTTGACCTAAAAACTGATCTGCCTACATAATAACTTAGCCCACAAATTAGGTAAACCATCAGACTCCGCGAGTGCTGTGGAGGAACACTCAATAAATGCCTTTAAGAACGGAAATCCAATAAAACTTTAGACGAGCGTAGACACGCGTCAGGCGACCAAATGGGACGTATGAATGCAACAATAAGATGCCGCAAAACTATTATGAACATGTGCACAAATACTAAACCTCGATCAAACGTACTATCTTAATCAGAGTTCAATAATTTTTTCCGGAATATAAGCAGAAGTTTCTAGCTGAACGTCCTGAACAGTACGGCACGGTAGCATCCTAATTTACAGTTGGTTGCAGCACACACTATATTCGTCCTATAGATACAGCAACCTTATATCCCAGAGATGTTGATATGCACGATATACATTTACAAGTTTGCACTCAGTACATGCTGAACTATAGGCTCTACATTTGACAGAACTCTTCGCGAGCAACTAATGTAGTTGCCTAACCAACATACGGCTAACGTGATTGATTATTCGAATATTAATCAAATTAGAGCATTATATTTTAGAAGAAATCGGGTAATTTATTTACTTAGACGGAAATATCAATGACAAATATCAATGTTCTTTCAACTTGAGTATAAAAAACATAATATAAAATGGACTTCCCTTTACAACTCGCTAATAGAGCACACAGAGGCGGCCTTCCCCCCGAACCCCGAAAAACCCTTATTCTATGGTCTTCAAACATTTTTTTTTGGTTTTATATTTATATATATGGTTTTTTCAACATATTTGCCCTTAAGTTGATCTGAGCAGAGGTAGTGCATATGGAGATGAGTAGAACGACAAGGACAGCGCGGTGGGTTTTGTTGACGCGTTAAAAAGTGTCACCTACAAATGAATTTAAATGACTCAGTGCAAGTTAATCCCAACGTTATCGTCAGCATCAAGTAATACAACGAACAGGAAATCGGCAAAAAATGTTCAATACAAGAGCAGCAGTACCGTAACGGTACTGCTGCGGCAGCAGTAGACGGTACTGCTGCGGCAGCAAGAGCAGCAGTACCGTAAAATGGGGTAACTTAGACTGGCGGGGTAACTTAAACCACTTTTCGTTTTTTTAACAAAAACCCCCAGAACTCAAAAACTATTTGACATAAAGAAATTTTGTCAATGGGCATTAAAGGCCTAATACTGAGGCTACATAACACAATAGAAAGATTTAAAAAGTATGCATATCTAATAGGTTAAAAAATTAAAAATGTGACCCACGAAAAAAGCTATTATTTAAAGCCTGTCAGAGACCCCCCTCAAATTTTTTTTGGTTAAATAACTCCAGGTTTTGATGCATTGTAGTAGAACTCTTCTAGTTACATAGGCAAACAACAAATTTTAGGAAAGTGTCATAGTTTGCAAATGGGAGGCGCCGCTCCCAAATGGGGGAACTTAGACCACCTAATGTCAGCCCTGACGGGGTAACATAGACCGGCTTGGAAGTTAATATAAAATTGCCATATATAACATATTTTATGTTTGACAGCCTATTTATGTTTTTTCTTTATGTTTCAGACTCTACAGAGTCTTATATTTGGTAACTTTAGCTTAATTTCCAAGCCAGTCAATATTACCCTGTCAGGGCTGCCATTTGGTAGTCACATTTCCCCCATTATGGGGCGGTGCCCCCCATTTGCAAACTATGACACTTTCCTCAAGTTTGTCATTTGCATATGTAACTAGAAAAGTTCTACTATAATGCACCAAAACCTTGAGTTATTTGCAGTTACTTTACCAAAAAATATAATTGATTTTACCACCCGGTCTAAGATACCCCAAGAGCTGGGGTAACAAAGACCATCACTTTTTTAAAAATTACATAAAGACTATGAGAGGCAGGAGCCAGCAATTTATGGTGAGTGAAGCTAGAGTATAGACCTGTATTTTGCACGTTTCAATTCAAGTTTAATTTAGCTAGTAAAAAAATGGCATCATTTATAAAAAAAGTGGTCTAAGTTACCCCATTTTACGGTAGTGGGTGGCCTTGGCCTTCTGCATATACTAATACTGATTTATACTTTCGTGTAAGTGAAGAAATAATCTTCAAGGCACCATCGGCATTTGCATTAATAATTAAGAGTGAAAAGAAAACGATAAAAATTATTTCACTAGATCGTCAGTAGCGACAATTGTGACAGACGGCAAAGTTGTTAGGCCGGCATTGTGGCATGTTTGTGACTAAGTATGAACCAAGGTTGGCTTCCGCAGCCCCCACCGCGAAATCTCATCTCGATTTCTTGAACTGCCCGACCAGATCTCTGGCTGGGCTGCTTGTTGAAAAGCATAGGCGATTTTCAGATGAACCATGAATGGCCAGAGTCAGTCAGAGCCAACAAGATTTTTGGATATCAGCGAAGATTCATGACTGAGCAAAGAGTTAAAGATTCAAGTATAAGATAGGGACAGCAGTGTTAACATTCTATCAAAAGTGCCATTCTATCAAAACAATTTAGCGTCCTAATAAGAAATTAGGCGCTTATTGCGAGGTAATCGAAATTTTACAGTATATGTTTTTTAAATGAAGACTTAATGAAAGATAAAAGCCCGATTATGTAGTCGAGCATTAATACGTACATACCACACATGGAAGTATAAAATAATTTAGAAGACAGCACACGCACCTAACAAAGTGAGCACAATTTTAATGGTGATAATTCTTGGTCCACCTCAATTACGTTGACATGCAAATATTGAAAACAAATAACAAGTTTTGATGGTGATCTCAATTACGTTGGTAGTTACTGTAACGATGTTCAGTGAAGAAACTTCTAAACAAACAAGCTTAGTATCGTCACAAGAACAGGGCTGGCGGTATTGTATATTAGCTTCAAAACCATTTAAAGATAAGCGAATAGGAACGAGACAATCATTTAATGAAGGCTCAAGAAAATTTGATGTAATAGAAACAATAAGCTAGCCACAAGTTGAGAGAAAATCGTGAAAAATTCGCAAAACCTAATATAGACAATTAGGTATTTGATGTAAAAATATTGCTTGCACTCAATTTTGCCGAACCTATCTGATGTTAAAAGAAAAAAAATATATAACTCAGTACTCACTGCAGTGAGTGACAGAGCGCATTTTCTCGTCGACGAAAACGTGAAGTCACGGACGGACAGGCAGACGGACAGACGGTCGGACATGACGAGCACAATAGCACCTTTTTTCCATAAATGAGAAAATGTGCTAAAAAGACACTGAAATGCGTAGGCAGACTAATGATTAACAGATAATATTTCTAAAAAATTTGCAGCTTTACCCCTTGAAGTTATTTGTTAAAATTTACTAAAAAATACAAGGATTTTAGGAGAATTTTCATGCATACTTTCAAAGTAAATTTAGTCAATGGTGCAATATTTGCAACCTCGAAGTTTGGATCGGGCTGCTTCCTTGAGCTAAGCCAGCGTGAGCGATGTCGCAGATTGTTGTTACGCAAGGAACGTTATCATGCAGGGAACATCATCTTGAGGAGGAACAGTGAATGCTGCAGTCGCTGGGATGACAGCAACCACAGCATGGGGCCCAAGGTGCAGCGGAAGAGAGCAGAGTTGCGCCGGAACACAAGCCTGCAATGACAAATAGATGCTGCAAGGACCATTTACGTTGATGGATATTTTGAGTGAAAAAAAACTGGGGCTTTTCTTTTAAAACTTGTTTAAGGAGCGTGCGGGCATGTGGCGGGCTGTGTACGCATAGCAAGCTAAGTACATGTAGCGGGCTAGGTATGTATGTGTAGGTTTGTATAGCAGGCTAGATATATACGAGCACAACTTAGTACTCATGATGTGCGAAGTACACGTAGCAGCCGATATCTCATCAGTGATTGGCAAGTATAGCTTGAGAAGCTGGAAGTGATTGGCTGACACCTCTATGAACTCTCTACTATTTTTATAGTACAGCTGTTTCGCAGCAAATCATGGAGATCACCATTTGAAATGAATTCACGATGCAAATGATAGTATTTTTTTTACTGTAATTTACCTTTTTGTTAGTGATATATGAATTATTCCCAACAAATTTTGTTAAAAGTACTAAAATTTAATTTTGGTTAGCTACCATAATACCAGTCGATATGCAACAAGAAATAAAGTTTGTTTGAAGTTAAAGTTCATTGAATCTTTTATTCATCAGTCTATCAGCCTCCCTGAAGATATTGTTGACGCTCCAAGTATGAATGCGTTAAAGAACAGAATAGACAAGGCCATGCTGGAGCGTATGTTTAGTCTTAAAATGCCTCGTATCCTACGGAACAACTGAAATCCAGAAGCAATTTTAAATCTACCGTCCGTTGAAAAGATTTGATTAAAAGGCCAGTCTAGCCAATAAAAGTACAAGAATCGGCGACAGGCCTATCCAGGCCTATTCTTCAATGCCGAAGATACTATACTATACTATACTATCAGCAGTCAGCAGATAATGAAAAAAGTAACTTTCTTGAACTTTAGTTAAAGAAATATAGTTTGTTTGAAGTAAAAGTTCATTGAATCTTTATTTGTCAATACCTATTAAACAGAAAATGAAAAAAGTAAGTCTTGAACATTAGTTAAGTACAAAATGTAATGTGATGTGGCATATGTTTGATGAGCACTACATTACTTGAGAGTCAGCTTGCTGTGGGCGTCATCAATGGCACCGAGTTCAAAGGAGAAACGAGGCTTCAACAGGGAGTCGGACTGCAGCACCAGCCTCCGCTGCGGCACATATTCGACGATTTGCAGACCCAGGGCATAATCTCCTGAACAAAAAATAAGATCAAAATAATCAAATCTCAATAAAAGATAAAACATATTATAAAATTGGATATGAGGTTTTAGATGAAAATAATTTGCACATTTGCAGTGATTTGCAAATCAAAATAGCTTAAACATTTAGACACTCTTGATTGGTCAAACATAAGCAACTCTCTCAGCAACATGTATGCTTGTACAAGGCTAAAAATATTTTGATGAAAAAATCACTGCAAGGATTATCAAAAATATTCAAAAGATATAAAGATATTGAATATAAAATATTTTGAAGATAAAATATTTTAAGGAATTGTTCATGTCTACAATGCTGACCGTACATCTTTTTTAAAAATTTGCACACCAGGCTCAGAATAAGGCAAATGACTTAGTAATTAGTATTCAATCAATATTTAGGAACACATCAATTGATAGCTGGAATTATGCACTGCAAATGATGTTGACTCACCCAACAATGGGATGCTGTACAAGGCTTCATAACGTTTCCCCACAGTCAACGGTCGCGAGTCTACAGCACGGAAATGAGACACCCAGTGGAACCACTGCAAAAAATCAACAAGTCAACTTTTTAAACAACGCCAACATCATTGAAATCTGGCATGATGGAGATACTAAGAACAGACATTTCTTCATCATAACTTATCATTTTTGCCCATAAATTACAGAATTGCTTTAAATGGAATTTAATTGTTTAATTTTACTGCAGCATAAAAATTGTATTTAAAAGTTAAAAGAAAGTTAAGAAAAAACATTTAATAGTTTTGACAAAAATCATCCTGTTGTAGACATTGGGTCTAAAACTTTATTAATTATTATTCAACAACCAACAACATAACAATTCTGCTCCCCTCTAATCATACCGGTAAGTCATTCTACAAATATATATAATGTCTAGGTCATTTGTTATAAATGGAAATCATGAATGTACGTAGGTCTTTTATGATATGAGCACAATTTTGGAGACCAGAAATGATTTAAAAAATGAGAAATAAAGGCTGGAGTTGATGGAGAAGAAATTAGAACAGAAGAAAATCTGAGAATTTTCTCCTCTATTTTAATCCACAGTCAGTGTTTAGTCAGTGTTGCAGGCAAAGAAGCTGTAAATGATAAAGAATTGAACTTTCGTAATTTCCACTAATTATTTGAAAATCTAGGATATTTTAAAATTTCACATGCATTGATAGCTTTATTAACTTAAATTATATTCATCATGCATTGTTAAGTTAGAATTTTTACAACAATCTTTAATCAAATCAATCAATCAGAACCAAATACTAATGCATCACAAACTTTTTCAACTGTATCAGGATTAGTCAGGAACTTCCACATTGATGCAGCAGGTGCAGGAATCACAGCATAATCTTCAGCAGCCCAACGTGTGGTGACAACATCTACTTGGTACAGAACTGCCGTCACGCACAATGACAGGGCAAACACAAAGCTCCACTGCACAAATAAGGTATCATATAAAATTTGCAAGAGATTATGTTATTTCATGATTTGTTTTTACAAGCAACAATTTAAACAAAAAACAGTTAAATTTATTGCTTCTGAGCTCTATGAAGAAAAAATTCAATACCAATACAACCTCTTTAGCTGTCATATAAAATTCATATTTTAGTGAAAGTGAATGATTGTAACTGCAATGCTTGATACTCACCTTGGTAATCATAGCTCCTGTTGTTTACACCAACTCAAGTTTGAATGAATTACAAGCAGTTTGATCAAAGCAACAACTAGATAGCTCAACTTGCACTAGTACCAAGTCTGCCACCAATTCTAAACAAACTTATCCAAGAGCAGTACATATCTTGACAGGAATCCATAAATTTTAAAACTGAAATAGGGATGAGAGTAGCATGGTTGAAAGGGAAGCACTTCAGTTGTATCATGCTTCAAGAGGAGTTAGTTTGAAGCTCATTTATAGAAACCAAAAAGAAGGTAAAAATGTTTCTCCTCTACATGCCATTCTTATATGTTTATGGTCAGACAGGGAGTAATAAATATGAATTATTGCATCCCATATATTAGGAATGATAACAACTTCCAAAAATTATTTCATTCCATCCAAAATAAAAAATCTATTTAGGTAAATTGGTGAGAACAGAATTTAAAATTTCAACTTTATTTCAAATAGCATATCATGAAACTGGTTGGAAGACCAGCGAAACTATTTTATTGATAATGATAACATTCACAATCAAAGAATAATCCTGGCAAAAATGGATGATTTTGTAAACACATTTGTAAGGTCAGGGTGCATACTGGTATTAGAAAAAAAATTCCACAACTTTTCCATAACCTGGTTCTAGTAATCTTCAAATGTCAACTGAAAAGAGAGTAGTCAGTGCAGCAGAAGCCAACTTTGCCAGAACATGTACATTAGGTATGTGTATGATGTATCAAACCTAGGCTACGCATCCACTGGTATATTTATTTGATCTTACAATTTTATTATGTCCATTTTTCTCTGCTGGTTCCAAATGGACCTTTGGAATTAATGGGTTAACACATGCAGCACAGAAAAAAAACTTCCTTTTTTCTTCATTTATTTGCAAATTCCATGACTTTCCATAACCTGAAATGAAATCCCATGACTCTCCAGGCCTGCAAAATGAAAAATAAAATTCCATGACTTTCCAGGTTTTCCATGACCAGTAGGCTACCGTACACACCCAGTATGGAACAATTATATTTTACAATAAACAAAACCTACATAAAATAAAAAATAGCAAAAACTTCCAGATGACACTGTAAATTATAACAAAAAATTTTGAGTGATTGATCATAGTTTGGTTTGGTTCCACATCATTATCAAATAAAAAAAAAGGGAAAGGAATAATATTTAAATTCAGTCTTATTCAGAGATGACAAAAATGTGGATTTTACCAACGCTAATTTCAAAATGGCTGTGCATACATAAAATTACATGGTTCCTCAATTTTCTGCAGTATGATACAGTTTGTTGTATCATTTGTTATTAGGCCTAAAACAATATTCCATTTGCCATTACATTTTTATTGCCAAAATGGTCCATTCCTATTCATTCTGCAAATCTAGAAATTTTAATAGGTAATCAAGAAACATGAAAAATTATCAATCATAATCCAAATAGGCCTAATTTCTTTGAGACTTTGAATATAAGATTTTGATAAATCTAAAGTTCTGGAATCTGGATCTTAACACATCTTCTCTTCATCTTTGTTCTGTTGTACTGAAAGCATAATTGTACACTGTACAGTTGTAACACATGAGTCATGAGTAATGATGAGTTTGACCTTCCTTCAGAGCTCAGTATAGCAGCTTAACATATTGCAAGCCTGCAAGGTCAGCAGTTCTGACTGGGACTCTGGGAGATTCAGGGAGAAGGTACTTAAATCATGTCTTTCTTGCCATTTTGTGTCTCATTCCACGGGTGATGGGTGGGATGAAGTTGAACCCGTCATCCGCTTGTACTACTAACTTGGCCATGAAGGCATGAACTGTTTCTTCTAGGTAGAACTCGGTAATCATAGGCCGGTGTGCTGTCAATCAATAGCCTGTCATCGACTCATAGCATAGTATCTTCGGCATTTAAAGAATAGGCCTGTCGCCGATTCTTGTACTTTTCTTGACTAGACTGGCCTTTTGATCAGATCTTTTCAACGGACGGTAGATTTAAAATAGCTTCTAGATATCAGTTGTTCACTTGTTCCGTAGGGTACGAGCCTACGAGGCTCATCGCTAGCTAATTGTAGCTATTCCCAATAATCTAGCATATTTGCTATAGATAAGATTACAATAAGTCAATAACACTTTATGGTTGAAAAGCCATAATAATTAATATGATAAATATATTGAGAAAACTTTATGTGCGTTTGCGCACGATGGCCTAGCGTCAAATAGCTCCATCCCTCCCCTGCAAATTGCAACTGTATCCCTGCAAAGTAAAGTGGGGACTGGGGAGACATCACAAACGAGCGCGCTCGGTACGTTGTGACTTGTGAGTTGTGACACCATTTAGAGCAAGTGTTTCTTGGGAACCAACAAGCAACAATTAAAATTCATAATACACTTAGGCGTCGAATAATGATTCTGGATAAAAAAGACACGATCGCAGTTCTGAAATAAAAATCCATATATTCTAACGTTTCGGCTATCTACA